GCATTTAATGTAGATAAATATATTTAATCAATAGAGAAAGTAAATGTATCATAATTACTCAAAATTCTTGATGGAAAGTTAGTAAAAACAAATGGAATTCCTCCATTGTGTGGCAGTTGAATTGCTTTTAATTCAGTAAATACCACGTCCTGTCATTCTATCCTTTTATCCCATTCCAAATGGTTTTAAAATTGGACTCATAAACTTGTTCACCCTTCTCCCCAGATTTGAAGCTTAGACAGTCATTTGTGGAATCCCGGAGACATGAGAACGGCCAGTCCACAGACATCTGCAGGTACACTAACGGCCAGCAGGAGACGCCAGAGCAGCAGCACAAGCCCTCTCTGGAGGAGACGGTGGACGGGCTCCTGAAGCGACTACGGGAGAAACGCCAGGACCTCGGCCTCCCAGACAACATGAAGGTGAGGCCATCTGTGGATGCATTCTGGTCGGGTGGGTGGGGATTTGATTGTGTGCTTGTGCGGCCAGGGTTTGCGGTGATTAACTCAACACGCACTCTTCTGTCCACAGGAGATGACCCAAAGACAGATGGCCCTGGAGAAGATCACTCTGCAAAAATGTCTACTGTATTTTGAAAGCTTGCACGGCCGCCCTGTAAGAGGTTTTTAACATTTAAATACAGAAATGTTCTAGTTAATTAGGCACGGATTAGGATTATGGCATTCATATTTGTACAAAATAAATGTTATGTGATTTTGTGACCGTAGGGCACCAAACAAGAGAGAAACCTGGTGAAACCTCTTTACGATAGATACCAGATGGTGAAACATCTCCTGTGTGCAATTCCCACCATCACAACTATAGTAAGTGTGATTATATATACACATACACTGCAGGTCAAAAGGTTGGTATAAATAAGATTTGTAATGTTTTTTAAAGACGCCTCTTTTGCTCACCAAGGCTGCATTTATTTAATTAAAAATACAGTAATAACATTAATGTTGTAAAATATTTTTAAAACTTAAAATATCCGTTTTCTATTTTGATATATTTAAAAATCTAATTTATCTCTTATCTTCATTTCCTCCAGAAATATATTGTTTTGTGGAAATTGGATACACTACCATTTAAAAGTTTGTGTTAAGTAAGATATAATTAAATTAATACTTTTGTTCAGCAAGGATGCATAAAATTGATTAAAAAAAAAAGACTTGTAAATACTTTTTTAATGTTACAAAACATTTCTGTTTTAAATAAATGCTTTTCATTGAACTTTCTATTCATTAAAGACTCAATGATTCAAATAATTCACATTTTCCATAAAGAGATATTAAGCAGCACATCTGTTTTCAACATTGATAATGATAATAATAAGAAATGTTTCTTGGGCACCAAATCGGCATATTAGAATGATTTCTGAAGGATCATGTGACTCTGAAGACTGGAGTAATAATGGTGAAAATTCAGCTTTGCATCACAGGAATAAATTACATTTTCAAATATATTGAAATAGTAAACAGTTATTTTAAATTGTAATAATATTTCACAATATTACTGTTCTTACTGTATTTTGGATCAATGAAATGCAGCCTTGCTGAGCATAAGAGACTTATTTCAAAAACATTAAAATATCTTAATTATTCCAAACTTTTGACTGGTAGTGTACAGCATATCAGCTCAGATACAACTTCTTCTGCTTCAACATACATAAATGAAATGTCACCATTGTATGCCCACAGGTGTCATATCAAAAATAAAAAATAAATTCCCTGTGGTCCACTTGTAATGTTTAAATACAATTAAAATGTAGGTTTTTTTCCACTATTTTCTCGTATTTTTACACTACTATTGAGAAACTCTGTTTGTTTTGAACGTATCACAGGAAGAAGAAGAAGGGTCAGATGATGATTCGGTTCGGTACACACCCCCGCCCATGTGCCTCACTGATAAGAGAGGTTGTGGGGAGGAGGAGGGAGACAGCGACACAGCCTTTGTATCTCCACTGGATGAGATCAAAACAGTGAGACAGCCAGCCATAACCATGTGCAACCTCCACGAGGCCTCCAGGTACACAGGCCTTAGTACTGAGGAACATCACATTTAAAAGAATGACAGCATGATGATATCAAGAATGATATCATTCCAAACATTTGAGTAAAACATAAGGAGATTATTTGGAGGTACTCTAAATACTGGAGAACTATTTCTAGATACTGGTAATAAGTTGGGAAAATTTCATTTACTAGCAATAGTCCTGCCAATCTGTTCACAGGGGTTATTAGTGACCCTCTCTCACAAAAATCTCCTGACTTTGTCTCATCATTTAGAACAGTTTTGGTAGAATATAAATTGGGTAGAATAAAGTATTTCTTTAGAAGCATTTCCGTCGAATATAAAGTATGTCAAATCTTTAACCCATGGAACAATTTAAAAGTAGCTCAATTCCGCAAGACTCAGACTTGGCAATCCTGTGGTAGAGCCCTGCAGTATATATTCTATTATATTATAGGTTGAAATGACCTATAATTGTGTACATGCAAATGATCATTTTAGGATGAAATATTCCTTAATACAAATTCCTTAACAAATTAGTCTTTGTCTAATGTAATGGCAGGTCTGAGTTGCTGGATTGTTTGCGTGAGACTCGAGCCGAGAAGAAAAGACGACGCAAAGCCATCAGAGAGTTCGAAGAACAGTTCTTCAGACAGATGGGAAGGTAAAACACAGATGCGTTATTGTGGCAATAACATATTTTAATGGTATTTTATGTTACTCTTTTCTTTATGAACATGGACAGGAAGGAAACAGGAAAATAAAGATCAAAATAGTTCAGCATAGTTAGCGTAACGCACATCTAATCAATGATACACAAAATAATACCACCAGGAAGAAAAACAAACAATGTTTCTGTACACAATATATGAATGTTTTTTTTTTTTTTTTAAATAAAATACATTTCCATTTATCTGCTATCCACTGATGTACAAAACTGCTTCAGTAAGGCAACTCAAGGGTTAAATGTGTTTTAATGGTAGTGTAATCTCACAGAGTCATCCGTTTCATGTGGTATCTGTTTTTTTTTCTTTTCTTTTCTTTTCTTTTCTTTCCCTCTCCACCAAAATAATGAAGATCCGCACAAAAAGATGACCGAATCCCCATGGCCGAGGAGTACCAGGAGTACAAAAGTCTCAAAGCCAAAATACGCTTACTGGAAGTGTTGCTCAGCAAACAGGAAACCACATAGACTATCTGAGTTAAAGAGATTCTTTCTGCCTTTCAGTAATGAACCCAATGTTTGGACCAAATGGAGTTTTTACATTTGACATAATTGTGCCATAATGATGCTAAAATGCACTTTAATATAATTTCTGACCACATTGGAAGTCCTAGACTCAATGGGTTGGGCCGAACCGATCAAGGCCTTTCACATAAACGCAGTGTGCGATCTCTGTGCTGTGTACAGTGCAAGACAGATCGATACAAACCTCATTCAGATTTCACAGGGCAAAAGGAAATCTAGAGTATTCATCTGTTTATGGAATATGGCACTTTATTTTTTTAACCAAAGTCGAATCATATGCAATTTTCACGTTCTCTTGCTCTCGTTTGAAGCTAGTTTATGATTCTAATTAGGAACATGGTGACATTATGCACACTAATGAGGTTCCATGATTCTCTCTGGCTAGACTGGATTTCTAGTCTGTCAAATAATGCAACGCTCTAGATAGAAAACAACTCGGAGCACTTAAAATGATGGTTTTATGCAAATTTCAGTACATTTTCTCTAGCATATAAATACAGCAACAACCGACCATAATTGTACACATTGTATGAACTAACACAAGTTAATTGTTTATTTCTCATATATTTGTCTCTCGCATGAAAAAAGGGAGCACAAAACGAGACTTACGACCCAGAATTAAAAAGGTTCTCCCAGAAAAAAAGAAGCTAAGGACTGTATTTTTAATGACCTATTATGTTTCAAAAACATGGTAAAGTACGGTACGTGGCCATCACAGAGCACAGTTTTCCTCCTATACATAACAAATCGTGACATATTAAACCAGTGGTTCAAATGAACACTGACTAGTCACATTGTAAGCTACAAACAATACTGAAGCCCAAAGCCGGGGATATGTTCATGAAAAGCGGATGTGCGCTTTAAGTGCAATTCTGCTCAAGTAGCTACTCTGGAAACAAAACAATCAATATCTTTCCTTTCCGACAGCTCTACTGCAATGAACTATTACAATCTTTGTGTAGTGTCTTTGCATGCCAACCAGCGTAAACTGTTGAATTGTGCTACAATCAGGTGTGGTAATATTCTGTCATGTTATCGTCGTCCCAGACTTTATTTGCTGTACACATCCACAATGACATATGTAGCTTTTGAATGTTAGCTATAGTGCACGTAATTCTACATTGGTTCATACGGTAAATATATATAATTATCTATATATATTTGCTTCATGGTGTACCTATTCTTTTCCATCACCAAAGTCCTCTGTATTGTGCACTTCTGGTTCTGTCCATTTTCTATTCACCTGTTAAAAAATAAATATTTTTCTATCTACACGTCGTATCACATTTATTATATGTTAAATCACAGTATACTGAATGGGTTGGAATAGATAACATGAAACACTGCCGAAAAAGAGTTAAGGAAGTGCTAATGTCAATGTTTGCAATCATGCTACAGATGCGTCCAATCACGTTTTTTGAGATCTCACCTGATCATCACATTCATAATGCTTCATAAGAATGGTTGTCGATCGACTGACTGCTGTGATTTAATGAGCAATTTGTGTAGACTTTGGTAAACTGTTACAATGCCACGTTCTAATGGGAGGGTCTGAAAGCCAATGGGGTTAAAGAAGCAGTTTGATTGACAGGTCAACATCCCAACACAAAACGACATATCTAACCTGACCCCGGGTCGAGATCCATAAGCTAGTAAAAGAAAAAGAGCCTTTTGTCAAAAGCTGTGAGACACATGCTGCGAAGGATCCTTACCCAGACAGCAACATAGTGTCGTCCCAGATGTGGCCCGGATCTGGGTAGACACTATGTTGCTGTCTGGGAATGGATTATGGATAAGTTTGATGGTAGGACAATGGGTAAGGAGGACGGCTAAAGGAGAAGGCGATTTTTCTGTGCCGTTCAAGGCAGCAGAAGGGTTCAGTTTCATAGGTTAGCGTCCCACGCTGATGTTGCAGGTCTTGCAGCTGGGATCCTTCTTGGCGTTGACTGTGGACATACTCATGAGCTGATGGCCGCTGATCTCAGCTACCGTGCCCAGGCTCAGGTCCACAGGATCGGTGTAGATGACCTCCAGGATAAGGTCCTGCGCGTGGTGGAACACCAGTTGGCCATCTTCCTCCTCCGAGCACGTCATAAAACGGTTGTCACCGATATCCAGCGCTGGAAGGCGCTGCTTGCAGAACTCGTCTCCCGGTGAGCCTTTCGGCGCGACCACTAAAATGACGTAGTGATATGCCGTGTACATGCAGTAGAAGTCGGCGAAATACAGGTTTGTCTTGGGACTGAAGAGCGTCTCGGCTGGCAGCTGGAAACGGTAACGGCCGTATGGTGAGTCCTGAGGGGGTTTGCCCGTGTTGAACTCGGTATTACAGCTGAAGAAGACGCCCTCTAGCTTCCCGCTGATGGGCGAACCATGGCTGCCACTGTTGTCCTTCACTGACGGCAACATCTTGTTGTTTTGGTCCTCCCTGTAACAAGAAACTTCACTGTAAATGACAAATCACTTCTTGAAGGTGAGATCAGATGTTACATAAACCATTTTCTCCTGCCTTTTGCACTAAACTTTACTGCCAGTGACTAACGGTGCGGTGCGTTCACATTTAATCTGGTTCAGTTGCAGTCTTTTCAATAGGAATTCACACTACAGGGAATTTCCCGTGTGGGCAAAAGATTTCGCCACACAGATTTCACAACAGGTTCAATTTGGTCACGTGGATTCACCGCGACACTACTGACGATAGATAATGAACGTGAAATTTTGCTAATGTGACCACACCTTAACCACCTTAAACCAGTAACCTGTGGTAGATGGAGAATACATACATTACTGCAAATTTTTTTAATGGAAACTGGCAAAACTGTAAAGTTAATAGCAAAACTATCATTTGGCTTCAAAAGACTTTAAAAAGAGAACATCTCATTGGCCACTTTCATAGTATTGGTATGATGTACTTCTTTTTGGCGCTTGACAGCCCCAGTTGCAATTCACTTTTATTATGGAAAAAGAGCAGCTCGAACATTAATCTAAACATATCCTTTTGTTCAGATATAGGCTTCCATAACAAATAGCCTTTTTGTGTAAAATATCGTTTAACTGTCTTCTGATAAATTCTTAGAGAGCTTTTTCCTCCCTACTATCACCTGAGGGTTTAGACCTGCTCTTTGTCAATGTGGCAAATAAAGCTGAAGTGATATAAACAGGTTGAACCCCTATCTGAAACGTATCACTTATAATACTGATATATAATAAACTCAAAGCAGAACCAATTGAGTTATGCATGCACAGCATCGATAGGCTTTCACTCACTCATGTGAAACGGGATTTAATGACTTGCTTAAAGCAAGGCAATGGATACTGTATATCTCACTGAAGTGTTACATTCAGAGTCAGTGTTATATATAAAAAACGATTTCTGAAGGGAAAAGAAAAACCTTCCCTTTTACTACTTTTGACTGTAATGAGGCTTTTCAGAAGGATTTAATTTGATTCCAAGGTGCCTCTTGCATCTAAAATCGTATTCATTTTATTCATGGAAAAGCTCATTATAGACTTATTATATCACCTTAGATGCATCAAATTCAACAGAACAAATTGAGTTTTCTGCTATAAAGACTGGTGTAATGGCTATTTTCATCAAATTATACTATACAGGACAGCATTAGATTAGTACAGAAGTCATTTAAATCACTGGGGTTACGTAAAAGAACATTCAAAGATAGAAAGGAAGATGATTAGCATAGAGAGAACTACGTTTTTAAATTTTTTTTAAAACAATTCATCGTTTTGGAATTTTCTATTATGGTGAAAATGAATATTCATATGAAATGAAAATTCCGTCATCATTTACTCACACTCATGTGTGACTTTCTTCCGTGGAACCCAAAAGGTCATTTTGAAGAATATATTGGTCCCTATTTTTATTAATAAAAATGAACAGGGAATGGTCTGATACCAATGAAGCCAAATGCCATTTATTCTCACGTCTCATGAACACACATCACTGACATCAAACCTGAAGCTGCATATTTTACAGAGCTCTGGTGGAGGGGAAGATTTTCAAGGAATAACAATTTAAATTTAATTATGCTTTTTATATGTCTTTTCAAACTTTACAGACCCAGTCCACTTTCATTTTATGGAAAAGAGCCGCCAGGATATTCTTCAGAATTTAATCTTTTGTGTTCCACAGAAGAAAGAAAGTCAGGAAGGAAGGTTTAGGACGAAATACACGTGACTGTTTCTTTAGTAATTTAGTATTGTTACCCCGGTAGAAGCACACACCTTGCATGATCAAAGTACTCCTTGTTCTGGTTTCGATAAAAGACTGAGAACCGCAGCATTCTGCCGGCGATGACCTCAGCTTTCTCCATCAACTGTGTGAGATGAACAGTGGAATAATCTGTAGGTACAAAAAAGAGAGGAAAAATGTATTGGAATAGTCAATATGAGTCAATATTAACCAATAACAGCCTAAATACACTCACCGGCCACTTTATTAGGTACACCTGTCCAACTGCTCGTTAACACTTAATTTCTAAGCAGCCAATCACATGGCGGCAACTCAGTGCATTTAGGCATGTAGACATGGTCAAGACAATCTCCTGCAGTTCAAACCGAGCATCAGTATGGGGAAGAAAGTTGATTTGAGTGACTTTGAACGTGGCATGATTGTTGGTGCCAGAAGGGCTGGTCTGAGTATTTCAGAAACTGCTAATCTACTGGGATTTTCACGCACAACCATCTCTAGGGTTTACAGAGAATGGTCCGAAAAAGAAAAAACATCCAGTGAGCGGCAGTTCTGTGGGCGGAAATGCCTTGTTGATGCCAGAGGTCAGAGGAGAATGGCCAGACTGGTTCGAGCTGATAGAAGGGCAACAGTGACTGAAATAACCACTCGTTACAACCGAGGTATGCAGCAAAGCATTTGTGAAGCCACAACACGCACAACCTTGAGGCGGATGGGCTACAACAGCAGAAGACTCCACCGGGTACCACTCATCTCCACTACAAATAGGAAAAAGAGGCTACAATTTGCAAGAGCTCACCAAAATTGAACAGTTGAAGACTGGAAAAATGTTGCCTGGTCTGATGAGTCTCGATTTCTGTTGAGACATTCAGATGTTAGAGTCAGAATTTGGCGTAAACAGAATGAGAACATGGAACCATCATGCCTTGTTACCACTGTGCAGGCTGGTGGTGGTGGTGTAATGGTGTGAGGGATGTTTTCCTGGCACACTTTAGGCCCCTTAGTGCCAATTGGGCATCGTTTAAATGCCACGGCCTACCTGAGCATTGTTTCTGACCATGTCCATCCCTTTATGGCCACCATGTACCCATCCTCTGATGGCTATTTCCACCATGTCACAAAGCTCTAATCATTTCAAATTGGTTTCTTGAACATGACAATGAGTTCACTGTACTAAAATGGCCTCCACAGTCACCAGATCTCAACCCAATAGAGCATCTTTGGGATGTGGTGGAACGGGAGATTCGCATCATGGATGTGCAGCCGACAAATCTGCGGCAACTGTGTGATGCCATCATGTCAATATGGACCAAACTCCCTGAGGAATGCTTCCAGCACCTTGTTGAATCTATGCCACGAAGAATTGAGGCAGTTCTGAAGGCAAAAGGGGGTCCAACCCGTTACTAGCATGGGGTACCTAATAAAGTGGCCGGTGAGTGTAGGTTTGTGGAGGTTTAGGTTTCCCTGACAACCGACGTTAACCAATCATTAACTGTTAACCGACAAAATTATGTTCAATTAAATTAAATTAGAATGTATAAATGTCTGTAACCCATTATAAATACCTACATTTGTTTTGTTCAGTTTTACATGCGCAAATAGCAGCTTAAACAACAGAAATTGAGGATTACATCGTCACATCACGCACATGAAGCTCTTCTGTAAATGGAGAAAAACGGAATAATATATATATAAGGAATAAATATAAGTGAAATATATTTAACCTAAAGCTGACGTTTTTCCTCTTTGTCGCCATCTCTGTTCGAAATCTGCAATTGCAGTCATTCACGGAATTACCAACTTTACGTGGGTTGTGCCACGGCACGGCACGGCACAGCACGGATGAATCCAATGTTTTGAGGAGAATGTGCGGCTGTCAGTCACTGCGCCGGTGTGGATACTGTCATTCAGAATCACAGATTCTACTTTTTGGAAGTTTGACCAACATAAGAATTTTTACCGGAAAATGTCATCTGAACAAGTAAGTAACATCCACTTTTGTTCTGACCAATTAAGGGGCATTGCAAAAAAAAAGCATTGCAAATCACGCTGATTAAATATAACGATCGATTATCATATCACGTCAAACCATGCAAATTATACTTTGTTCTCAAATTGTTAATGTTAACAACATCAGCATTGAGTGACTACATTTAATGCCCTTCCGATATTTATCCTTGTTTTCGCATGGGCCCGGTTGCAGTATCTTCTTTCTGTAGCCACTCCGAAGTCTTATGCATTTTACAGCGGGTGAATCTGTTGCCACTGGTGATTGTCGTTTGAACCTTTCTGGATCCGCCATCAAATTGATAAGTTTAATTATATCAAGCGCTGTGAGAAAAGGCTATAAATCTCCACCTCCAACATCCTCGCACGCAATATAGCCTACTAGCGAGACTCTTCTTTATGTGTACAGATGTGACGTAATGACGCAAAGACATGCTCGAATCTCCCACGGAAATCCACCAGTACCGCTGGAATTAAAAACATTATTACAAGCTTACCGTTTTGAATCGAGCAAAGGCAAGCAGAGAGTTTTAACCAGGCTGGTTATGTACTTGCTCAATTTATTTTGGATAATTTTTAACCCAAAAAACTTACGGACTGCAGCTTTAAATACAGATTAACAAAACAAAGTAAAAACTGTGTGACAAGTAGCCTATATGCAGAGTTTTGCGCTCCACAAACTTCACGGAAAGTAAACCGGGACAGCAGAAAGCAACATCCTTTTTGTTTTCTTTATTTTTACAAAAGCACAATGTTTTGTTTTTATTATGAGTGTACAGCAGCAACATAGTGTCGGCCCAGATCCGGCCCGCGTCTGGTACGCGTTGAATCCGCATGTAACAGATGTGGCCCGGATCTGGGCCGACACTATGTTGCTGTCTGAGTAGCTTTCCATCAACTCATGAAACCCCATTTGGGAAACCGTGCTTTAATGTGCATCTCACCGGCTGTACAGAATTCAATGATCTCGCTCCACTCCGACACGGCGTAGTCTCCATCGCCCTGTTTGGACGCGGTCTGAACGGCCACAGTATACTCGGTGCGTGGACTCAGAAACCAGTGTCCTCGCACTGTCATGGGCAGAGGAACTGCTTTCGCTACCAGTTTAGTTGGGACGTCCTAGAGAAGACAGATAATGAATGAGACTGGACAGTCATGTTCTTGCAGTTCTCTTTCTGCAAACACATGTTATTGAAGATCAGCTTTTGCATACAACAGGCCAGGCTGTGAAGGGACAGGTAAATATAGAGGGTCTGCAGACACACACCTTGTGTTTGAACTTGTTAGCATTCTTGTTTTCTTTCTTGTTGAGGTCGATGAAGTAGTGTGTGATGCGTTCCTTGGACCTGGAGTCCATATCCCAGCAGATCTTAAAGGAGTCGCATGTGATGTTGCTGATTTTGATGTTCTGGGGAACTGGAAGTTCCTCCATCTCGGCGATGCCACTGTCCAGGGACTTATTTCCTGAGAGACACAACAAGACAGATAGAGATGTTGGGAGAAAGAACAGAAACGGATAACTATTTGACTTATTTTGTCAACCTGAAAGTGGAGAATTTTTTTTTTTTAGCATATACACATTTAAAACAACAATATTGGTGACTCATCTTGCACAACCCATCGGTACAATCAAATGCTCAAATGATACCACTTTCCTCTGGCTACACTGTAAACAATCTGTGAAATTTACAACTGTACAACCTTGAATTTACATTAAAAAATGTTTTTAAGTCAAATAATGTTAATATATTAAATTACTTAAATCCTTTTTGACAACCACTTTAAAATACAGATGGCAAAGAGAAAGCCATTTTGACTAATCTAAATTCATCTTTTCCATAAGCTGAGGTAAATACTCATCACAATCTATATAGTGTAATGCTCACAAATGCAAAACACCATCATAGTAACTCACATGACTCTAAATTAAATTGTTAAAAACACAAGTAGAATAAAACCCTAATGTACATAACTGATGTAAAAACAGTTATTTGAATGAAAAAAACATTAAATGTGAAATGTCACACAGAGAATTCTGGGAATGTCAATTTGTTTTTTCACTGCATAAATTATAATATGTCTTTTTCAAAGCAAAATTTGTACAGTAACAGTATTTTATAGTAAGATTACATAAAATGTCCACTAAGATCTATTCGTTTTTCACTCTAAGTAGTGAAGGAATTTACTGTTAACCAATTAGCAGGTTTTTACTGTAGCATTTTTACAGTCGTTTACTATTAAAACTACGATAATTTTTTTTTAGTAGCAAGGCATTGTTGATGTAGACACAGGAAAGAAAACAGTGCTTGTAAAGTCATAGAGTCTTGAAGAGATTCAATATTTGGAATAAAGTTGTATGAAATGTGTGATTCTAGCAGTGACTACAGATTAATGTAAAGCAAAGGTAAAAAATGTTAACACTAAGATGTTTTCAAGAGGAAATTCCCAGTCCGACCTTTATCCAGGTCAATACTGAACTTTACCACACTAATAGCAAACACTGCCACTATTGACTTGCAGGATGTGCCGCAGGGCAAAGCGGCGAAGGGCTTTTTTAGACAACTGGGTTATTTCATCCATGATGAGAGTTGATGAAAGGGCAATGAAAGTATGATTCAGTAGGTGTGGATGGAATAACATTCAACTAGATTCTAGTTGGTTGCTAGGTGGTAAATTAAAAAAGAGCCCAATTTAAATTCTGCATTTGGCTCTGGTCTCTCCTTCAATGTAGCAATGTATCTGATTTATTGTCTGCCACATAAAAATTGAAAGTCTGATCACTGACGCTTAGACCCTAGGATTAAGTAAGTACGTTTTTGTTGTTTTGATTTGTTTAATCATCAACTGCTTGACTGGATTTGCAATTGTTCCGGTTGATTCATGCTTTCAAATTTAGTAGACTACAAATTGCAATCACCATATTTTCATGTGTTGCTTTTTATCATGTAATCATCAAGCCCAGCTCAAATCATTTCTCTTTCAGCTCTAAAATAAATCAGAAGAAAACAAAGTCATCATTGAGACCTGTAGAAGATCGAATCAGCGAAACAGCTTGCAGCCCTAAATGAAAACTAGCATGACTAGCATTCAGTCTCTAGCCTCTTCAGTCCACAGATGGGAAAAATTACCAACAAACAATGTCATGAAACATGTTAATTACGGCATATTAAAAAAAGACACTTTAATATTCGGTAGCAATTTAATTCACCGTCCTGTTCCACATATACATACTGTACTTATATTAATTATAATAACTGGGTAATAACTAAACCTAACCGTAACCCATGTAGTTTCCTAGGTAAGTACGCTGTAAGTACACATTAGTGCACACACTGTTAAATAAAGTGCAAACCAATATTATATATAACATCTATGTGTATTGGATATTATGCTGACATTTTGCAAGATAAAAGCAAGCACAGATTTACTGTTTACTGCATGTTAAATGTCGAACTAGCAACTTAATCTGCTAAAATATTGATAAAATAATTAATAATGTATGTTTAACCCTCTGGGGACGGCAAACGCGCCGGCGCGTTTTGCTGTTTTTTTTTCACATAGCAGCAACATAGACTTAAAATACTCCGTAATTTATGGTCATATAAATAAAATCAATACATGCAACATTTTTTTAAATAATACATGCAACATTTAACATTTAAAATAATACATGCAACATTTTTTCAAATAATTAATAATGAATGTTTTATACCTTTTTCATATTTCACTTGAAATTGTTCGTATGAAAAAATAAATATCGGACATTTCAGAACTGTTACACCCTATAATGACAAATTTACAGGTATTTCTGGCAAAAATATGGGATTATGAAATATATAAATAAACATAACTATCACAAATTACTAGAGATAATTTCGTGTTTGATTCCTATAAATGATATCCCTATCTATGAACACATAAAAAACACACAGAAGGTAACCTGACAGTATGTGTTGCCATACATCAAGAAAAATAAATTTCTTGATGACATTTTAAAAAAAATTAGGCACAAAAACAATGCTTTTGTTGTGTGAACTATTAGTTGTTTGATAAACTAATACCTAACATCAGATTAACTTAGCATTAAAATGACCTACTTTTAAACATTACAAATGTCTGCATCCCCCCCCTTAATACAGTGATTTTAGCTTGTCCAACCTCCAATGTTCTTCTAACCTCAACCCGACAATTAAAGCATACAACAATATCATAATTGTGTTATAATAATATATTAAATTTATATTGTAGTACAATTATTTACCCTATACTAATCAAATACATTTTAGTTTTTAAGTCCCACATTTTTGCATTCACTCCTGTTACTGCATGATTTTTGAATGTTTACCATAATAAATGTAAACATTTTTTAAATTGTGACACCCAGGAAGTGACATCATGTGGACTCTTTCTACAGAATGGTAAAAACTCTCTGTTGACCGTATTCAACAAGGTCAACATTCAACCCTGTCATCCCAGTTACTGTAAGATAAAATGATCAAATAATTATGTAAGTTTCATGTAAGTAGTTTTATGGGAAATACAAGTTTGTCGATTGCCAATGAATAATAAATTCAGAAACAGGGTTGCATAAAAAGTGTACAAACCTCTATAATCGATATACTCGATTATACTCAATAATGTTTGACCTCCCAAATTTGACTTTGACAATTTCCTGAATGTTCAGCGCATTCTTTCACTGACCAATTGTTGGAAAGAAAAATGTGGCCCTTTTTTAGGTACGGTACGGTCAACTAGACGTCTGAATTGAGGAGGTTTAGCTATTGAACACAAACCCTAAACCCTGGCGCCGAGATGGTCCTGTTCATTCACTCCAGCTCTTTAGGGAGACGCGAATGAATGAACTGAAAAGAAAGAGAGAGAAAAAGACAGAGAATGGCTGTGGGAGCAGAACTGCAGACACATTACCTGCCCAGTCAGCTAAAACCGGTGTGCAAACACACAGCGTAGAAAGAGAGATGAAGGCACCATAAGGGAGACGTCCTCCTGTGTCTCTTCAGATGGAGCGTTATAGATGAGCGAGCTTTTCTCAATTCTCAACCACCAGAGAGCTTCTGAATGAATGATTCATAGGAAGACCCTTATAGTGTAGCTCCCAGCGCTGAATCATTTCTCGTTTTATCTCTCGCCTGCACTATGCGTTCTCAGTACAAAGACTCAAGATAACAAGAGCTCGCCTACGTTAGGGAGGAGCGCTCTGACACCCGCTACTGTCTCACTGCTACACTATTATCTCAGCTGAGAATTACTCGTGGAGCGCTTTGATGCTTTCAACTACAAAATGAAAAGGCAAAAACTTGTTACTTGTTAGTTTCATTTCACAAGGAATTCACAATTTCCAATTCCCAACCAGAGGGTCTAAGAGACTAAGAATAAGGTTTATTGGTTTGTTCATTTTCCAGTGTATACTGTGAGATGTTAATATAGAGCAGCTCAGCTCTCTTTACACACCCACACAGCTACAGTAAAACAATAAAGGCATTTATATTCATTAACACATTAAACTCTCACTAAAACATGCCGGGACATTAAAGCAGCACTAAGTAGGAATTCCGTTTTTGTCAAACAGCGACCCCTAGAGTCGCTGTGGAGTACTTGTACTGTCGTGAATAGCACTCACGCAGAGATGGCTCGCACTCACGGCCGGATCCCCTCCCCCTGTACACCGGTACCTGTTCAGTAGGATGGACGCTGTAAGGAGTGGAAATAAGGTATGGCCCCTTTAAGAGCTGCGCGCGCCCTGTTTAACTGTCGGCAGTCTGTATTGTATGTGCGTCTCGAACACCACATGTATACAGCGCCGGGTTATTTCTGTTTGATGCTCATTTTATCAGAATTTTATCAGATCTGTTTTTTGCCGTAAAGCAATTTGTTACCTCGCGAGACCTGATATCACAGGATACTTCCAAAGTATCAGACAGCCCAAAGTTGCAAGGGTGGTTTTGCGGCTCACAGGCACCAGGGGGGTGCGAGACGACCACCATTCAACACGAAATCAGTAATATAAACATTACAATGACTCCAAAGCTGTTCGGTTAAGGTAAAAAAGTTACTTAGTTCACCTTTAAACCACAAACTTCAAAGGAATATATATCATACTTAAAGGGTTAGCTCACCCAAAAAATGAAATTTCTGTCATTAATTACTCATCCTCATGTTGTTCTAAACCCGTAAGACTTTTGTTCATCTTTTGAACACAAATGAAGATATTTTTGATGAAATCTGAGAGCTTTCTGCCCCTCCATTGACAGCAACTGACACTTTGACGCTTCAAAAGGTTCATAAAGAGATCCATATGAATTGAGCAGTTTAGTTCAAATTTTCTGAAAAACACAATTGCTTTATATGATTTTAACATAAAATTGAGCAGCACTACAGTTTTTGACATGAATAATTGTAAAAAGGGGAAAAGACTTTTAGGACCACTTAGAACTAAAAGATTTTTA